TTGCATAGAATACTGGGATGAGCTGGGATTAAAACTGGCTTTTGATGATCTTGGGACCAGAATAGCAGAGTTGGAAACCATCTTGGAGGTCTTCTAGTCCAACCCACTGCTCAAGCAGGAGACCAGGGGTAGGCAACCTTGGCTCTTTTATGACTCGTGGACTTCAACTCCCAGAATTCCTGAGCCAGCATGAGGGAACTATGGTCCCCTCATGACTCGTGGACTTCAACTCCCAGAATTCCTGAGCCAGCATGAGGGAACTATGGTCCCCTCATGACTCGTGGACTTCAACTCCCAGAATTCCTGAGCCAGCATGAGGGAACTATGGCCCCCTCATGACTCGTGAACTTCAACTCCCAGAATTCCTGAGCCAGTATGGCTCAGCTTGGAAACCTCTCCCTGTCCCCTCAGCATGGCTGGCTCAGGAATTCTGGGAGTTGAAGTCCACGAGTCATAAAAGAGCCAAGGTTACCTACCTCTGGGCTAGACAAAATGAATTGAAGCAGTTTTACCTATTACGAGATTCCTACCCTGTCCTATACCATTTCAGACAAGTGGCTCTCCAATCTCCAATTTCAGTGATGACCAAATAAGATCAACATGACCCTCACTCACCTTATCCTTAGCAAGAAATTCTGTATGTGGCACGAACGAGAGCATATTCTACCAAAACTAACCAAGAAGAGGATTTGGGTCTGTAACATTAAAAATAAGTAAAAGTTAGCTGAAAGGGACCGGATCTTCTGGAGCAAAACAGATGCATCTAATGCACGTAGGGAAGAGAAAATGTAGATTGAATTTGTGAATAAAAGGACCACATGGTACAAATGGGTATCCTCAAGGCTGTTGTGCATGTCAGTCAAAGAATACGTTGGTGATAGTTACCAGATTACCTTTCTGCGCATGAGGTCAGAGGGAAAATTATGCAAGGATCCAGATGGGAAATATGAAAAAAACAAAAATGGAATGATCGAGCGAAAAGAGTTGTGGTGAGAAGAAAAAAAACAATGCAAGCAAAATATAAATTTAATCAATAATAAAGTTAGAAATACTTCAAAAGATAAAGTAGCAAGGAAGGAAGATTGGGTTTTTCACAAGGATCATAGGGCACGGCTGCCTGCACTCATGGCCCAAGGAAGAACGGGACCAGCTCAATGGGTACTTTAAAGCCAGGCTGCCTTGAGGGGGAAGCTCCCCTCATCTCCTCAATCACGTCTCCCTCCAAATACGGAATAAGCCTTCCTAAAGATCTACCTTGATAAGTCCACACCTGGAGAGTTTAGTTTTACCCTTAGACAGAGGTTGTGCCTTAAAATCCTCCCTGGAGTGTGTGCAGGCAGCTAGGGCTATTCCCTTCCAACAGGTGAACTTGGATCCCTAGAACATGATGAGCAGAACCATATTTAGGGGGGGGGATCCTGAAAATTCTGCATCAAAAGAGGCCTAAGGAGAGACCCAAAAGAAATGGTTCAAAAGATGCTGCAGCAATCAAATCTTCACCACTGAAAATCAGGAAGCAGCTCCAAAAGTAACTCAAAATGCCCAAGGTTCTCAATCTTGGCAGCAGCTGCCCTCAGAGGAAGTAGTCGGGGCAACAGATGGATAACATGTCAAAAAGGCTGAATAGCCTGCTTTAATGAGTAGCAGAAAGGGACTGATTTTTCACCAGGTCCAAAATGCTTTTTCTGAAGTCTTTTTTCCTAGCCTTTCTGTTCTCCAGATGGTCTGAGGGATCTCAAACATTGTTGCTAAGTATTTGGCTCATGCAATGTTAGTTACCCAGAGCACCACCCTTAGAAATCTCCGGTTATTTTATCACATCTGTTTTATTTAAAAAAAATAATAGGAGCTTTAGACTAGTCTGCTAGCAAGCACACATTCGTTGGTCAAAATACGAGAGTCTTCTTGTATGCATTTTGCAAAATGAGGGGTGCATTTTAGTGCACAAGGAGATTAGCTCTCAATTCCACTTCAAGCAAAATAATGGTAGACAGACGTATTTTCATAATTCCATTTATATTCATACCGAAGTCTTCCCCATATAAATTGATTACAGGAGCACAGTTTCATATTAAAGCATTTTTGTCCAGGGTACAGTACAGCATATGAAAAAATTTTATAGCACTAAGAAATGAATAAAAAACTAAATGATTCGTGTAAAATGTTTATACACTTTATGTACACACCAAGTCACAAAATTCAATTCAAAACACCTCCATTCAGGACTACCGTGACAGACTTAATAAGCTACAGTACAAGATTTATTAAGAAAGAAAGAAAGAAAGAAAGAAAGAAAGAAAGAAAGAAAGAAAGAAAGAAAGAAAGAAAGAGAGAGAGAGAGAGAGAGAGAGAGAGAGAGAGAGAGAAAGAAAAAGAAAGAAAGAAAGAAAGAGAGAGAGAGAGAGAGAGAGAGAGAGAGAGAAAGAAAGAAAGAAAGAAAGAGAGAGAGAGAGAGAGAGAGAGAGAGAGAAAGAAAGAAAGAAAGAAAAAGTGAGAGAGAGAGAGAAAAGAAAGAAAAAGTGAGTGAGTGAGTGAGAGAGAGAGAGAGAAAGAAAGAAAGAAAGAAAGAAAGAAAGAAAGAAAGAAAGAAAGAAAGAAAGAAAAAGAAAGAAAGAAAAAGAAAGAAAACGGGGAAAAAAGCTTAGAACTAATTTAAGCACTTACTGAAATCTGGATTGTTTACAAAAATTTAGAAAACATAGTTCAGAGAGAAGTATTCCACATGTATTAGAAAGGTTCTGCAACTGCCTTTTGGAAATGACATGTTAACATTGAATTTCAACCGATAGATATCTTCTCTCTTGCAACACAGCTGAAATATACACAATGGAATCACTTTAGAGTAAGGCTTTAGAGTAAGAGGGACATCTCTTTTCTGGAAGCTTTCTCCAACGCAGTGGCTTATTGCTTGTCCTTTTAAAAAAATCATCCTCCCCCCCTCCTCTCTTTCTTTCTCACTCACTCGCTCACTCGCTCACTCTCCCTTGCTGCCTTCAAAAAATAACCCCAATTCCCATTTTACAGACAGACCCCCATTAAATGAAGCTATCAGGCTCAAATGTTTCAGCATTTGGGTATAAATGCGACTGCTTTTTATAACTGGAATTTGTCGATGGAGATTCCCCAGTTCATGGTTTGTCCCAAAGGTGCTTTTCAAAAGGCAACTGGGCTTTCTTGGGTTTTGCCTTGAAAATGTTTCACTTCTCATCCAAGAAGCTTCTGAGAATTGAAGAAGCTTCTTGGATAAGAAGCGAAATGTTTTCAAGGGGAAAAAAAACAACAAGAAAATCCAGTTGCTTTTTGAAAAGCACCTTTGCGTCAGTCGGAACCAGCTTTGTTTTTAAGTCACTAAGCAGGTCCCCACTATGAAAGGAGATGATGTGGTCCAGCAAACAGGAGTCCTCCAGTCTCTTCCTCAACTAAAAGAAAAGATGGGATGCTGGTCAACCCCTGGCTTGCTGTTGCATACAAACCAGGAACCGAGGTTTTACAAAGATCCGGGTTTAGTAAGCAAGCCAGTTAGCCAGCATTTCTGGGTTCCTAAGAAACAGAATATCAGGAATGAATGAGACAAACCTGAATCTTGGTTATGTCCCCTTTTCTCTTTATGCATATACAAACCGAAGCATGAGGATCCTTTAAAAAAAAAAAAATCTCTAATAGGCAAATTCTGGATCAAAATCATCTCGACTCTTAAAAAAATAACAAGCCCTCATCTCAAGCTGCCGTAAAAGGGGCGAAAATTAAAACAGGAGAGAATTCTTTGGTTAGAATAACTCACCAGAGCCTGTAGCTCTAACTGCAAGAATCAAAACACTGTACGTATTGGCCTAAATTTTGAAGGACTACTAGGAGCAGACCCTATTTGGGAATCAGGCAAGAAAGATCTGATTTCCTCTACAGGAGTTTTGGCCTCGGAGCTTCAAATGCCAAAAGGATGAAATCAAAGGAGGGGAGGGGAAAAGGTATCCTGTGGTTGTGCTTGTATTTATTCAGTTAAAATTCTGCATCCTGATCCTCGGGGGGAAAAAAAATCAAGATTTTTCTGGTGTGTGTGTGTGTGTGTGTGTTTCTTTCGTTATTGTTGTAGCACCGTCCGATGAAAATGCCAGCCAACTTCTCAAGCACACGCAGAGTCCTATTTCTACTCTGAAGAAGATGAGGAGGGGTCTTCAACCTCGTCTCCCTGCTGGGCTGCCTTTGCGGAGGCGCCCCCCAACCTCGCTCTGAGAGCACCCCCACTTCAGCAACCGGCCCCGAAGCCCCATCCGCCGGCTCCCTAACCACAAGCGGGGAGGAATGGCTGCAGCAGGCCCTGGGAAGCCCTGCCACCCCCAGCCCCAGTGCGCAAAGCTCGCCTTCTGCTTACAGAGGCAGGGCGACGAGCTGGACCCCCTCTCCGTCGGGAGAGGCTGCTTCAAGGCGTTTAAAGATGCCAAGGCGCTGGGATGCCGACGGAATGGACCCCCTCCATTCCGCTCGCTCGTTGTCCCCGGGCAGCTTCGGCCAAAAGCTGAGAGTCAAGCCCGGAGTAGCCAAAGAAGCGGACCAGAAGGGGGGAGCGGCGGGGTGCAGCAGCAGCAAAGGGAGAAGCCAACCGACCCACCTCGGCCAACGTTGGAGCAGAAGGGACCGGCCAGCCCCCTCCCCTCTCCCTCACTCGTCCAGTCTGGAAAGGGGATGGGGATCCTCTCCACACGGGGAACGGCTGGGGAATCATGTTCCGGGGGGGGGGCGGGATGTATTACACTGGGGAAGAGGGCACCGTTTGGACCCATTTGGACCCAAGGACCCGCGAAGGGGCATGGGCTGATGGAGAGCCGCAGTTCTGGTCCAAAGGCCGTCGAAAGAGCCGCTTTGCTGGACGGGGCGGGCCGGAAAAGATGGGGAGGGAGCCGTGGGAAAGCTCGGGCAGGGTAAAGCGGGGTTTTTCCGGCGAGGGTCCGCTCTGTCTCCCGGCCACAGCCCCTCAGACGGCCGCTTTCTCTCCGGGGGCGCCCTCATTCGCGGCAGAAGACGTACTCGGTGTAGCTGGTCCAGATCTTGTCCTCGGCGGGGCCGCCTTGCTCGGGCCCGAAGGCGCAGGTGCCGGTGGAGGAGCAGGCGGCCATGCGGAAGCCGGCCTCGCTCAGCCGGTCGAAGGCCTGCTCCAAGAAGTTGAACTTGAGGTAGTAGCGGGCCGTGTAACGCTCGGGAGGCCGGTCCGGGTCGCGGCTCTCGTTCAGCGTCTCGCCGAAGACCTCCTTGGCCAGCGCCGTCTTGCCGCACACCGTGATGCGCGCCACCCGTCGGAACTTGGCGTCGGCCTGCGCGTCCCGCCCGATGGTGTAGGAGCCCCGGTAGCCGATGGTGATGTAGCCCGAGCGCCGCCCGGCCGAGCCTCCCCCGCCGCCGGCGTCCAGCGAGAGCGAGGCGGCCAGCGTGGGCGGCGGCCCCGACGGGCTGCGGCCCGAGGTGGGAGAAGCCCCCTCGGTGAAGTCCGCCTCCAGGTAGGCCAGCCCGGCCGGAGGCTCGTCGGCGCAAACCGAAGAGTCGCGCAGCAGCCCGGCGAAGCGCGGCGGGCCCGGCGAGGAGCCCGACGCCGCCAGACGGCGCACCAGCTCGGGCAGCTGGAAGTACTCGGCTTCTCGGCGCAGGCGGTTGCGCTCCGGGAAGCCCTCGGGCAGCACCAGCTCCTGGTCGCGCAGGTAGTCCAGGATGTATCGGAAGAGGAAGCCGTCGCGGTCCAGGAAGAAGCGGCCCTTGGAGTCGCGGGGCAGCTCGGCCGGCTCCTGCTGCGAGAAGAGGCGCCAGAGCAGCGAGCCCCGCACCGACAGCACCGTGCCTCGCCGGGTCACGTACACCTGGCCGCCCACGTTCAGCTCCACGATCTCCGGGATGGGCCCCGACGGCGGCGAAGAAGCCAGCTCCGAGGCCGCGGGGGCTCGAGGGCCGACGCCGCCGCCGCCGCTGCTGGTGCTCCGGACGCCCCCGCCGCCCCCGCCGCCGTTGGGGAGCCCGCGGGCGCTGTCGGCCAAGGCCATGGCGGGCGAGGAGGGCCCCCTGCGCTCCCCGGGGCTGCGACCGTCGCACCCGGCTCAGCTGGGCTGCTGTGCCGCCACCCCGACGTCTCTGGGTCCCTCCTGCGCGGCTGGGGTGTGTGTGTGGGGGGGGGGGCTCCGCTGGGCTCCGGCCTCCGGGCACTGCCGGCCAGCCAGAGAACGGGCGGCGCGGCGGGCTTTTATGTAGCGCCGCCGCCGCCGCTGCCACCGGCGGGAGGAGCGAGCGGAGGAGCCGGAGGCGGCCGGAGGCTGACGTCGCTGCTCGTGGCGCTTCCCCTGCGCGCTGCCTCCTCGAGTGCGCGGAGCCGCCGCCGCCGCCACGCCCGAGCGCCCACCCGGGCCTGGCCGGGGGGCTCAGCCGCTGCTGAGGATGCTGCAGCCCCCCACCCTCCGGAGGTCGCGCGAGCCCCCCACGCGTGAACCCCCCACGCGTGAACCCCCCACCCACGCGCGACCCGGGAGACCCGCGTGTGTCCCTTGGGCTGCCGCGACCCGCCTTGGGGAGGAGCCTGGCTTGGGGGTTGGCAGAGGCGGAGGGATGGCCAGGGTCGTCGCGGGGGGGGGGAGCGTGGAAGGACGGGAGTGGGAATTTTCCGCTCCCCGCGGGGTGACGGCTGGCCGCTCGGGACTGCCAGACAGCGGAGAGAGAGAGAGAGAGAGAGAGAGTCGGGATCTCCGCTCCTGGTTTCTGGGCTGGCTTCCTCCGCCTCCCCCCCCCCCCCGTCCCTTTCTCTCCATTCCTGGAATAAGAGTAGAGTCGGCGCTCCGCTTGTACTTTCTAAGCTGATTCAGACGACCTTCGGTCCTCGAGGGAGGTTTCTCCCGAGGTGCCGAGACCACTAGAACGGCTTGCCTTCAAAAGTTGTGGGTGCTCCGTCACTGGAGGCTTTTCAGAAGTGATTGGACAGCCGTTTGTCTGGAATGGTAGAGGGGTCTCCCTGTTTGAGTTGGGGGGTTGGACTAGAAGACCTCCCAGGTCCCTTCCGACTCTTGTTATTCTGTTATTCTGCTTTGCCTACCCCAGTGATGGCGAACCTTTTAGAGACCTAGTGCCCAAAAACTGGCCCCCTGTGCTCAAGCAGGAAACTATTAGAACAGCAGAATAACAGAATGACAGAATAAAAAGGAAGGGACCTTGAAGGTCTTCTAGTCCAACCCCGTGCTCAAGCAGGAAACCCTGTGCCATTGCAGACGAATGGCTGTCCAATCTCTTCTTCTTAAGAACCTCCAGTGTTGGAGCATTCAGAACTTCTGGAGGCAGGTTGTTCCACTGTTTCATTGTTCTCACTATCAGGAAGTTTCTCCTTAGTTCTAAATTGCTTCTCTCCTTGGTTAATTTCCACTCGTTGCTTCTCGTCCTGCCTTCAGGCGCTTTGGAGAATAGGTTGACCTTTTTTGTGTGTGTGGCAGCCCCTGAGATATTGGAACACTGCTATCATGTCACCCCTCGTCCTTCTTTTCATTAGAGACTATCCATGTGGGGCAGAAGTCCCTATAGCAGCTCAAATCTAAGCCAGAAAAACCTCAAGGAGGCGGAGTGGCTTTGCCCCGCCCGGGCCAAATCCCAGCTCCTGTGAGCCTCAGCCAGGCAGGTGCCACCCACTAGGCTACTGCTGCCCTGGGGATGTGGAAGGGGAGACCAGCTTCCTTTCAGCCACCTCTAATCACATCCTCAAAATTTTGGAAGTGGAGTCTCTCTCTCTCTCTCTCTCTCTCTCTCTCTCTCTCTCTCTCTCTCTCTCATTCTCTCATTCTCTCATTCTCTTTCATTCTCTCCCATTTTCTCTCTCTCTTTCTATCTCATTCTCTCTTGCTCATTCTCTCTCTCTCATTTTCATTCTCTCTATTTTTCATTCTTTCATTCTCTCCCATTCTCTCTCTCATTCTCTCTTGCTCACTCTTCTCTATCTTTCATTCTCTCATTCTCTCTTTCATTCTCTCTCATTCTCTCTCTTTCATTTTTCCATTCTCTCATTCTTTGTCTCATTCTCATTCTCTCTTTCACTCTCTCCCATTCTCTCTCTCATTCTCTCTTGCTCATTCTCTCTCTCTCTCATTCTCTCTCTCATTATCTCATTTTCTCTTTCATTCTCCCATTCTCTTTCTTTCTATCTCATTCTCTCTTGCTCATTCTCTCATTCTCTCTTGCTCATTCTCTCTCATTCTCTCTTTCATTCTCTCATTCTCTTTCATTCTCTCTCATTCTTTCTCTCATTCTGTCTCATTCTCTCTATCTTTTTCATTCTTTCATTCTCATTCTTTCTCTCATTCTATCTCATTCTCTCTCTGTCTTTCATTCTTTCATTCTATTTCATTCTCTCTCTCTCCCTCTCCCTCCCTCCCTCTCTCTCTCTCTCTCTCTCTCTCTCTCTCTCTCTCTCTCTCTCTCTCTCTCTCTCTCTCTTCCGTATAGCATGCTTTCATTGTCCAAATGATGGGGGCCTTCAGCAAGAGAGGGTGCAGGGGAGGACTAGAGGGCTCTGAATGTAATTCTAAATCATAATTTCTTGTCTCTGAGGGATTGTTAGTGCTCTCTGAGCTTGGTTGTTTCCTTGCAGATGTTTCATTACCCAAACTGGGTAACAGCTTCAGTGCTCATCCTGGCAAGTACTAACGTCACTAACACTGTTGATGCTAGCTAGTTTAGGTAATGAAACATCTGCAAGAAAACAAGCAAGCTCAGAGAGCACCAAGGACTCCTCATTTCAAGCCTGAGCTCCAAATATTCTCCTTTATTAGCTTTCTTGGTCCGTTAGAGTTGGGGGGGGGGGTCATAATATTCTGGGTGAAGGCTGCAAAAACAGCAACTTTCTCTATTACAGACACAGGTGGCTTGCTGTATTATAACCAGAATGCAGGTAAAATAAAGGAGAAATGCAGCTATGTCCCTATAAGAAGGATGTGAAGGAAGGGAGAGTTTAAAGCTTTGGTCCTCAGATAATCTCCTGTATGTCAGTAACCACCATAAAAGTTAGTGGGGCTTTTTTTTTTTTTTGCCTGCTTAGATAAGAGTTCATTTTTCACCATATTTGGACTGGATGAATGAAATTGGCCAAAACCTCAGAAAGCCATAGAATCCCTTAAAGGCTAATGTCTATTTAAAACGATTAAAAAAATAGGAAGACAAACAGCACTGGAACCCACCACCTCTTCAACAAAGGAACTTCCTACGTGCTCCTTTGGAGTGGAGGTGAAGTGCCAGGCACAAGAAATCAGGAGCCAAAGTGGTTCAGATGAATACAGGTTTAAGGCATGCTAACACTGAACGAGTAACAGTCAAAGCAAACAGATAGTAGATAAGAGTCAGTGGAATTCAAGGTGGGCTGGACTTAGGTCTCTTGTGGGTGCAAAGGGATTTGAGACTGATGACACCTTTGACCCCTCCCTTGGGCTCAGCCTGGTCGTCCCCTACGTGATCTTCTATTCCTTGAGCTCCTTATCTTAGATACCTGAAGCCAGACCTCTCAGGCAGGCTGTATGAAAGATGCATGCAAGGAAATGAATGAATGAATGAATCAATGAATGAATGAAGAAGGAAAAGAAGAAAGAAAGAAAGAAAGAAAGAAAGGAAGAAGGGAAGGAAGGGAGAGAAAGGAAGGAAGGAAGGAAGGAAGGAAGGAAGGAAGGAAGGAAGGAAGGAAGGAAGGAAAAGAAGAAAGAAACAGAAAGAAAGAAAGAAACAAAGAAAGAGGAAGGAAAAGAAGAAAGAAAGGAAAAGAAATAAAGGAAAAGAAAGAAAGAAAGAAAAAGGAAGGAAGGAAAAGAAAGAAAGAAAGAAAGGAATAAAAGAAAGAGGAAGGAAAAAGAAGGAAGGAAGGAAGGAAGGAAGAAGAAAGGAAGGAAAAAAGAAAGAAAGAAAGAAAGAAAGGAAGGAAGGAAGGAAGGAAAAGAAGAAAGAAAGAAAGAAAGAAAGAAAAAGAAATAAAGGAAAAGAAAAAAGAAAGAAAAAGGAAGGAAGGAAGGAAAAAATAATGAAAGAAACAAAGAAAAAAGAAAGAAAGGAAAGAAAGAAAGAAAGGAAGGAAGGAAAAGAAAGGAAGGAAGGAAAAGAAATAGAAAGGAATAAAAGAAAGAGGAAGGAAAGAAAGAAAGAAAGAAAGAGGAAAGGAAGGAAGGAAAAAAGAAAGAAAGAAGGAAGGAAGGAAGAAAGAAAGGAAAAGAAAAAAGAAAGAAACAGAAAGAAAGAAAGAAAGAAGAAGAAAAAGAAAAAAGAAAGAAAGAAAGAAAGAAAGAAAAAGAAAGAAAAAGAAATAAAAGAAAAGAAGAAAGAAAGAAAGAAAGAAAAAGGAAGAAAGGAAGGAAGGAAAAGAAAGAATGAAAGAAAGAGAAAGAAAGAAAAAAGAAAGAAAGAAAGAAAAAAGGAAGGAAGGAAGGAAAAGAAAGAAAGAAAGAAAGAAAGAAAGAAAGAAAGAAAGAAAGAAAAAGGAAGGAAGGAAAAGAAAATGAAAGAAACAGAAAGAAAAAGGAAAGAAATAAAGAAAAAGGAAGGAAGGAAAAGAAAGAAAGAAAAAGAAAGAAAGAGAAAGGAATAAAAGAAAGAGGAAGGAAGGAAGGAAGGAAGGAAAGAAAGAAAAAGAAAGAAAGAAAGAAAAGAAAGAAAGAAAGAAAGAAAGAAAAAGAAAAGCCAAGGAAGTAGCCTTAAGAGCAGAGGTTTGGTGGCCACAGATTCTCAGGCTAGAACGGGGCAGCTCCAGGACAGGAAGGAACTGGGAGCTCCTCAGATTCTCCTGAATGTAGAAAGCCCAAGCAGTCGAGGCACCTGGCTAGGGGGGATCCCAGCACCTAGAGAGCCACCACTGAGCAGACCCTACCAAAATGAATGGCCAGTGAGGTCCAGTGTGATGGGAAGCATTCCTGAGGGCATCACAGCATCTTTTGTTGTCTTTCGATGGAGGAAGGTGTCAAGGAAGCTGGCAGAGCGCGTGCTGGGAGGGCATTCCATCAGGCTCCCCGCTTCCCCAGGAGAAATCTCTTCAGGGCCC